CTAGCTTTAATCACGCTCATAGACACCTTTCAGAGTAGCCTTTAGATACCAGCCGGGCTTTGCCCCCAACTCTTGGGGCATATGGCAGTGGGCCCGGCGGTGATACTGCGTGCCAGGCTTCACATGCAATACCTCCAAATTTGGTTCAGCTTGGTTTACTGACCAAACAAGGACAGACTAGACAAATCTCTATCACCACCCACCAGAATCAAAAACTCCTTAGACTGGTGGAAGGACCCATTCAACATTTGTAAGGGGATCCCCTTCTTACAGGCATCACTCACTGTCGTTGCTCCTCACCACTAACGCATCACTCATAGAGTTAGTCGCGCATCTAAACGGCCTCAGAACACAAAGCAAATGGTCGCCCATGGAGATAGCCCTTCATATCAATCTCCTTGAGCTAAGAGTGATCAGGAGCGCCTGCACCCATTTCCTCCTGCTGATCATGCACAAAGATCCTAACAGACAACTTATTCTGTATGTACTACATCAGTTGACAAGGGGGAGCCAGGTCACCCTCTCTATGTGCAGAAGTGATAAGGCTATGGAATTGGTGCATCTCCCACAATGTTACACTGTCTGTGGCTTACCTCCCAGGTGCACAAAACTCAATAGCGGGCAATCTCAGTCACAAATTCCCACACGACGACGAGTGGGAGATACACCTGACAGTACTTAACAACCTATTCAGACAATGGGGGACACAGTCCACAGACCTGTTTGCCACTCACCTGAACCAGAAATGTCCATGCTACTGCTCCAGAGTGGGGATAGGGTAATGCTCCTTGGGTGATGCTCTCCTCTTCCCTGGGACAGGGACCTTCTCTGTGTCTTTTCCCCATTTACCCTACTGTTGAAGGTCCTGCTGAAAGTAAACAGGGATGGAGATCATGTCATTCTGATTGCTCCTACTTTTCCAAGACAGACCTGCTACTGTCACAGCTTGTGATGTGCCCGCCAGTCCCTTTCCCGGCCATTCCACACCTCTCGCAGAACAGAAGATGTACCCTACATCCCAACTTGGGGATTCTCCACCTGAGGGCATGGCTTCTGTTTGGTTCCAACACCTAGAAGACTCCTGTTCAAGAGCGGTACAAGCGGTTCTATTACACAGTAGAAAGTCCTCAACACAAGGTACTTACCTGCAGAAATGGTTCAGGTTTCAGATTTGATGAACATCCCAACAAATCTCCCCAACTCCTGCGTCTCTTCCACAGATCCTAGATTATGCTTTGACCCTAAAAAGGTCGGGTCTATCTCTAAGCTCTCTTAGGGTTCACCTGGCAGCTATAACAGCTTTCCACCAACCTGTAGAGGGGTTCTAAGTGCTGTCACGCCCAACCGCTTAAGAATTTCCTCGAGGGTGTAGTAAACCTCTTCCCTCAGCTTCGACTCCCTACCCCCACATGGGAATTAAGGACTGAGTAGGCCCCTCCTTTGAACCCACGGCCACCTGTTCACTGCCGTGCCGATCAATGAAAACTGCCTTCTTCATAACAATTACCTCTACCAGGAAAATAGGAGAGATTGTGGCTCTGATGGTACATTCCCCTTACTTGGTATTTTTTTGGACAGGTTTATGCTCCGACCCCATCCAAAATTCATCCCTAAGGTAACCTCCCCATTTCACATGAATCAATTGATTCACCTTCCAATCTTCTATGCCAAGCCACACCAAGATGACAGGGAAGCTATATTATATACACTAGATGTCAGGAGAACCCTGGTCTTCTACTTGGATAGGACAAAGGCCTTCAGGAAGTCCCTTAGGCTTTTCCTCTTCATTGAGGAAAGATCCAAGGGCTCAGCAATATCAGCCCAAAGGCTCTCCAAGAGGTCTCAAATTGCATCAGACTGTGTTATCAAGTTTGCAACTTGACCCCTGCAGACTCTGACCTTGTGGAGTGTGCATGAACACTCTCATCTGTCACCACCTTCAAGAATGTCCCTATCTCAGAGATTTGTAGAGTGGCGACATGGGTGTCAGTCCACACTTTTGCAGAACACTATATGATCACTGGGGACTCTGCCTCTGATGCCATCTTTGCCTCGATAGGTCCGTTACCGATGACAGCATTGACTCTGAAGTCCCGGCCCTCCAGAAGGGGAACTGCTCGGGAGGCACCTACAGTGGAGCACCCATAGGAACGCTACTTGAAGAAGTTACTCACCTTGTGCAGTAACAATGGTTCTTCTTCAAGATGCATGTATCTACGGATGCTCCACAACCTGCCTTCCTCCCCTCTACTTTAGAGTTCTTGTCTATGACTCTGCGGTAGGGAAGAAACTGAGGGGCATTAGCCCACACATGCTGGCTAGCCTCGTGGCGCAGCACGAGGAGAGAGAGAACGCATGTGCGGGCCTTACAGACACTCCTACCAGAGTTCTCTGATCAGCAGCGCAGGGATGCAAGCACACCTACAGTGGAGCACCCGTACGGGGACAAATCTTGAGGAACCATCATTACTGCGCAAAGTGAGTATCTTCTTATGGTAGGAAAATATATTGCTTCTCCTTATATGATGAGGTGTCGGACTGAAAATGCTGCAGAGAGCAAGCCGCTGTTGGTTAGAAGGGCTCAGTCAATGTCTTATCTGTTTTGTTACACCGCTATCTTAGCTGCATGTTAAAATATAAGCCAGTGGTTCTCAGCCTGTTAACCATTGTGGGCTGCATATAGAGCTCTCTCTGTTATGTGGGCTGCATCCACATAATATATATACTACCTGAATGGCCCTGAGGATTTCACATGGGCCACAGCTGCGTGCTGATCGGGTTTCAAGCAGTCTGCAGGCCGCAGGTTGAGAACCAGAGATATAAAATGTTTCCACATTACATTTATTTGAAATGTATGGAAAAATCATTTCTGCTTTGTACAATGGCACTTATGGGATCACAAAAATCATTGTAAAATAAGTTTCCCTTTTACAGTAACTGATGTGGGAATTAAATTCAATATGACTGTTCAGTAAAAACTCTTCTGTTTCATTGCAAATAAAACAGTAACCGTATAACAACATTGTTTGTAAATATAAGTAAATATATTGAAAATATCTTACAGAAAACTTCTGGTAATAATTATAATGTTGAAACATGTCATCTAAAATATGTTAATTTTTCATTTTTGAATTTACTACTATAAGAATAGGTATGTTTCTATCATACAGTTCATATTTGAAGTGTGTATATTTAGTGTACCCATTGCTGTGGTGTGTTGGCACTAGTAAAATTGAGAACAAAATCTAAAGACCCATTTCAAAAGACTGAGCTTTTTTTCCACAGCTCCCCATTTTAAATATCACTATGATGTGTATGCTATCACTCTTCTTTTGTTGTAGGAAGGCTTAATTCTATGTTCAGCACATGGGTATGCACTAGATGACCTCTTGAGGTCCTTTCCAGCCCTACATTTCTATATCACTTTAAAGGTGGTAAGATCTGAGCTCAAACTGTTACTTAAGGAATGGAGTTTCAAATATGACTGTGCCATAAAGATTCTTGTCCCTGGAAACCTCACACTCTGGGAACACACTGTTTGATCATTGCTCTCATACTGGGTTGTGGAACGATATAGTCCATTCCTGAGAGTTGGTTCCCCAGCCCGTTTAGGGCTTGGGAGATCTAGAGTAGGATTTTGAAGTGCATGCTGTATTGGAGGAGGTTGGAGAGCATGCAAAGCCCTGGAGTAATATTTTCCTCTCAGCCTGTGTTTCTTAAATGAGACCCAATTGCAGCTGCCTTGTGGCTTCAGTTTTCATTCCCAAGTGCAGTGTGTGTGGCAGTAGTCAAGTTTATTGGTGACTGTAGTATGGGTAGACTGTAGGTAAGTCAGAAACTGATAAGGAGGAACACAGTGTCCTGCCCAGCTGGAGATGAGAATAGTGGAAAAATGTGTGTAACCACCAGTGACTTTGTCAAGAAGATCTCAAACTTTGCAAAATCTTGATTATTGCACAGATGCCCAAGGTGGAGGTCTAGAGTAATCCTTTCATACCTTCTAGCCATCACCTCCTCTGTCTTGCCTTTTTTCTGTTTTAGCCAGCAGCTTATTTCAGATAGACACGGGTAAAATGGAAATATCTGCATTTGATGTAGAGATGGTGTTATCTGTGTATTGCTGGCATTAAAGTCCATGTTGTGCCTCGATCCCCTCTAAAGGGAAGAATAGGAGGGGGAATAGAACTGAGCCGTCCAAGAATCAGTGCTGAGATGAGACATTGTACTGGAAATTATTATTCTGTATAGACAGTTTAAAAATTATCTGTAGCACGAAATGGTACCATCTTGAGGTATAATCCCTTCAGGTTTCACAAACTAAGCAATTCAGGGTTGCTATTTGATGTCGAATGAAACGCTTCTCAGAAAAGCCCAGTGTTCTGCAGGAAATGGGGTTAGTCATTAGGCAGGTGACACTTTAAGAAGAATCAGTATTGTGCTGGTGCTCAGGAATCTGCTTGAGCACTAGGCTTAGGTTGAGATTTACAAAGGTATTTAGGCATGTAAAGATGCAGGTAAGTACCTAGTGAGATTTATAAAAGTGCCTGAATTAAGTGTCTAACTCCCATTGCATAGGACCCAAAAACCTTGTAAATATGGCTCTTGGAAACGTGTTAATAAATTGTGAATATCTTTATAGCTTAAAAATCCCTGGTCAATCTTCACAAGAAAGGATACTGTAGAAAAATACAGTTTTAGTTATTGCAGCCGGTCTTCAAAACTTCCCAACAGTTTCAATTAGGTAAGGCAGTATTCACTTTTGGCTTAAAATTTCAGGGCATTGAGGTTGCTGCCTTTCAGTGATGGATTATATGAATCTTATGTATATTTAAGATCTTCATTTATATTTATATATAAATTATTATACATGCTCTGTGTTTATCTAAAAAGCCTACCTAGTTGAAAGACAGTATAGTGATGTCAGGAATTTTAATAAGTTTTATTTTAAGATTCTTCAGTTTTGAAAAGTAATGTAAACATTTTCTTCTCATTTATTTCAGGTTTGTGGAATCTTGCTTCCCTTTTTTCCAATCTTTGTTTGTTTGTGTTGATGCCCTTTGCCTTCTTCTTTCTGGAATCAGAAGGATTTGCTGGCTTAAAAAAGGTAGGTAAATATATTATTTGTAGACTTATTAATGTATAAATACCAAGTCCCAAAGCTGTAATTACAATAGTATTAGGCTATTTCGTTTAGAGTGTGGCTGCAAAGGATAGTGCATACAAACTATTGATTTTACTGCAATTACATACAAATAACTGGTACAGTAGCAAAAAAATTAATTGGCTTCTGTACAGTTTGGACCACTGTTATGAACTGGTTTCCATGAACTTGTTTTATTGTAGTAAGCTAATTACATACTTTATTGAATTTTTTAGGCCTTGTCTGCACTAAACAGTTAGATCAAGCCAGCTACGTTGTTCAGGAATGTGAAAAATCCACACCCTTGAGTGACGTAGTTAAGCTGGCCTAACCCCCGGTGTAGACAGATTAGGTTGATGGATTCTTCTCAGGAAGGTGGATTACCTGTGCCATTGGGAGAACCCCTCCCTTCGGCATAGGTAGTGTCTACACTGAAGCGCCACAGCGACGCAGCTGTAGTGTTTCAAGTGTAGAGAAGCCCTTATAACTTTGGTTGCACATCTGTATATACCCCTTATTTGCTGTTTGATGTAATTATTTATTAAATAATTTAAAATGTGCTCAGTGTTGTACAAAACATAGTATACAGACAGGGACTGCCCTGGGGAAATTAAGATATAAGCAATGTAAATTGAAGTGGTGAAGGCTTCCAGGATTCTTGATGTTACAATGCAATGGCACCTGCACCATAGTTAAGCTAGTGTTAGAGTTGGGTTTTAGCAGGAGCTTTAAATCTTTGTTGTACAAATCTCATTGAAATGGGAAAAGACTATACATAAAATACAAACTTTGAGCTCTTTGAATTTTCGTAGTCAATTGGCAAAAAATGAATCCATACAGAGAATAAGTCTAAAAATTGCTCCTTTTTGTAGCTTCACTGTCTTTTTTTGTACCCCTTTTGAAAGAAATCTAAATCACTCCAGGACCTGTCCCATGTTTATATTGTTGCTCCTCGTGCTGATTCCTAGAATATCAGTTATAAATATATAGTGTTTGCCTATAGAGTATTTTATAACTCTTTAGCCATAATGGAAAACATATGTGCCAAGGTGAACCTGCTCAATTTTAATTGATGCCAAATCTGCTGTAGCACAAACACCATAACTCACATCCAGCAAGGGTGATGGGGAGAAAGGCAGACTTTTTCCTTCGCTTCTCCTAAATGTTGTTTAAATTCTCATTCAGTTTAGTAAGGCCACGAACTCCAGCTTTGAAGACAGCTATGAAAGAGCTTCTGAACTCTCCCCTCACACTGTCTTTTTATAAATAAGCTAGCAGGAAGCTTATGCAAGGTCACTGCAGGTACGGATCCCGAGTATCCACTATACTATACTGCTATTCAGAGTGACTAAACTACTTTGCATTATTCCATCTCTCACCACTAGAAATCACATTCCTCATCCAGAGCCAGAAATAGAATCCACGATTGGTGATCATCAGTATTCTGTTTTAACTAGTGAATAGCAGTGTGTTGTGTTTCCCTCGGTGCCTATCCATAAAATAATGGTTCTCAGCCTTTCCAGACTACTGTACCTCTTTCAGGAGTCTGATCTGTCTTGCATAGCACAAGTTTCACCTCACTTAAAAACTATTTGCTTACAAAATCAGACATAAAAATAAAAAAGTGTCACACACACTTACTGAAAAATAGCTTACTTTCTCAATTTTACCATATAATTATAAAATAAATAGATTGGAATATAAATATTGTGCTTACATTTCAGTGTGATACTTGAGCCTGTTTTTCATTTGTGAGCCTTGTCTGAAGTCCAAGCCCTGCTGCCCGGGGCTGAAGCATGTAGCTTAGCTTTACAGGGCTCCTTGTGTGATGGGGCCCTGGGCAGTTGCCCTGCTTGCCAGCCCCAATGCCGGCCCTGCACTTGAAAAATCCCCCACAAACCCATCCCGTGTTGCCCCCCGGGGGTCACAACCCCAGGTTGAGAAACACCGTTCTAGATGAGTTGAAAACCTCCTGGAAGATCTGCATACCCCCAGGGATACATGTACCTTGGATGAGAATCACTGCCATGGAGGATGCAGGTCTGTGGCAGCTCTCATCTTGAGAGCTTGTCTCTTTATCACCAGCTGTAAAGGCATTCATTCCTTTAGCTCTGGAAATCATCAGTTCAGTACTCTGTTAGCCAAGATGGCAGCAGTCACATTTACAGGTGTCCCACATTGGCATGTTTGTGGGATGAGAAGTATGCCTCATACTGATGATGATGGAGGGCCCAGAGGAACTGGGAGCACTATAGGAAGCCTGTTCTCCAGGCCACAGCCATTTTCCAGTAGTCTGTGAGAGGCTACAGAGTGTTTCAGGCCGTAATGGATGCAGTCTATTTCAAAGAGATTCCCTCCAACTAACAGGTTATGTCATATCCTCCATCTAAGCATGGAGGAGTGTTCCGTATATATACCGTCAGTAACTTTTAAACAAGAATAAAATGTTATAAAGAATTTACTTGCTCATCACAACTACACACACTTTTCAGGAATGTTGAGGTAGTCAGGAGCAGGACCATCAGCTCAGTTTCTCCCTCTGATTCCAAGGTAGGTGCAGCTCTTAATCTGGGGAAGTGTCCACTGAGGTACACCGATGCTGTATAGAAAGCCCAAGAAACTGGCAAACAAAAACTGTTTAGTAGCAGTTAAAGTTGTGGCAGTTCACCCCCCATCCCCCAACCTTAAAAGAATGGAAGCCATTCAGAATGGAAGCATTCCTTTCCACCTTAATATTGTCTACAGTACTATTGATAATGTACTCCCTCACTCCATAACGTTTCACTTCCATCTTCAGCTGATACCAAAAGCAATATGCACCCTAGCTACATCAAACTTGTACTCTAACTCAAAACCTTAATAATCTTAGGTGTCTTAAGACAGAGTAACTGCCTAAATGCATGGAATATGTGACAATCAAATATGCTGGTCTGTTGATATAAAAGCAAGTGAGATCACTGTTTGTTTTTCATTAGAATGCAACAACTATGGCTTCTTTGCATCACTCAGGTGGTATAAAGGGATCTGGCTGCAAATTCCACTGATGTAGGAGGGGAACTTCTTGCGGCACATATGTACCAGATCTGGAGCTTACACCTGCCAGCCCTCTTTCTTGCTGGGAGTGAGGCAGAGTAGAGTTTTGCTATGCCAGTCCTCTGCTTGCATAGGGTTCATTTAGGACCCTATACTAGTGGCACAAATAGAGGATCCTGGCAACTGCTCTAAATTGGATCAGGGTCACAGATGAACTTCTTAAATGGGGAATCTCACCTGGTTCCCTGATACCCTATCCATCCTTCTGTGCTGAGCAGAGCTCTGCTGCAGGAGATAATGCAGCCCAAAATACCTAATTGTTTAATAACACCGTATTTGGTATTATAACATTGTTTTTTGAATAATTTATATAGCCATCCCAAGTAAAAATAAATACCAAAACTTGTATAGAAAGGGAAGTATCTACAATAATATAATAAAGATGGTACAATTTAAACTGCTCAGAGCAACAAAAGATTCTTTTTCGGGTGATTGTGGACACAGATTTCACTCTTGGTGAGCATGTGTTCAAGATTGGATTCCTTTTGCATAGCAGCATCCATGGGTACTCTTGTGCTCCCTATAGTCATGAAGAGTATAGTGGATTCAACTACCATTCAGTTCCTGCTTACCAACCGTGGCTGCAAGATGGAGCTGTGTGCAGTGACCCTGACCCTTGCTGGGTGAGATTTAACTTTTAGATTTAGTCATAGTTAGTTAGTTGAATTAGGTTTCCTTTACCAATTGACTTAAAACAAAAACAATATCCAACTTCATAGTTAGTTGTTTTTTTTTTCCCCCTCACAGTCTTTTCTTCCCTGGTACAGGGTTTAAGAACTGCCCCTCTTGTGACTTGGTTATGTCTGTTAGCGATGGGTACTCCTGATGTCTTATTTGCCTTGAGGAGGGACACGTACTGAAGCATTATTCTATATGCCATTCCTCCTTGAAGTGCATCTAGAAGTCAAGGGAAGCAAGACTCAAGTTCTTGCTCCTTGAGAAGTCCATGCAAGCTGCCTCTGACCTTGAGAGACCAGAGAAGCCTCACCAGATAGATCAGTTGCTTACTCCTACTGCCTCTGTATGCTGTGACTTGTTTCTGGGCTCCTGGGCCACTTGTACTTATAGATCCCTTCATCAGCTGCATTTGTAAAGGGCAAGAAGGAGCTAGACATAGGTCACCTTCCCAAACTCCCAAGTAAGAATCACTAAAGCCATAACTCTCTCCAGGCATCTATCAGGTGCCATAAATTGGAGACCTGCTCTGGCACCACTGTGAGCAAGACGGCCTAGATCAGGGGCAGGCAAACTTTTTGGCCTGAGGGCCGCATCAGGTTTCAGAAATTGTATGGAGGGCCAGTTAGGGGAGGCTGTGCCTCCCCAAACTGCCAGGCTCCTGCCCTGTATCCAAGCCTCCCTGCTTCTTGCCCCCTGATGGCCCCCTGGAACCTCTGCCCCATCTACCCCCTCTGCTCTGTCCCCTGACTGCCCCCGGCCCCCGTGCCTCTAACTGCCTCCGCCGCCCCCATCCAACCCCCCCCCCCCGACTGCTCCCCCGGGACCCCTGCCCCATCCAACCACTTCTTCTCCCTGACTGCCCCCCGCTGCCCCATCCAACCCCTCCTGTCATTCCTGACTGGCCTCTCCCCTCCTGTCCCCCCCCTCCCCCCGGGATCCTTGCCCCATCCAACCACCCCTTCTCCCTGACAGCCCCCCGTTCCCTGTCCTCTGACTGCCCCGACCCCTATCCACACCCCCGGTCCCTGACCACACCCTGAACTCCCCTGCCCTCTATTCAACCCCCCTCTCCCACTCCCTGCCCCCTTACCGTGCTGCTGGAGCACTGGTGGCTGGCGACGCGGCTGCACCAGGACAGGCGGCTGCACCAGAACAGGCAGCTGCGCCGCCTGACTGGAGCCAGCCACACACCG